TTTTCAATGAGTGCAATTGTTTGGATTCAATACTTTATTATTATTATAATTTTCCATATTTGCAATTTCTGTATTTTTTTTGTATTTTAATCGTTGATTAATCACGATTAAGTGCAAAAAAAAAAGATTTGATTAATTGGTAATTTTTTTAATCGATTGACAGCACTAATATATATATAATGCATTTCTATTAATACTAAAATATAATTAATTGTAACTAATTGTAAATCATTTTAATTTGATTTAATTCAATATAAAATATACTGAATTAGGTAGATTGTTAAAATTGAGGTATACTTTTAACTTATTTGCTATTTTTTTATTACGTAATACTACTAATAATAAAAAAATAATAATATATCAATTAATTGATTTAGCAGGTATTAGGGGCTGTTCGCATCTCAATTTTTTTGCACACAAGTTTGCACAAGTTCATTGTTTTAACACACAGGGAAAAAGAAATAATCGATACTTAGAATCTTTCTATGAGCAATCAGTTCTTGACGAAGCTATTAAAATATTAGCTGACCCTTGCATAGTTTATTTTATGAGTGCGAGTCACTGCCCTTTGGAAGACAATATCGGCTGCCTGTGTACACATACATACAATTGTTTTAAGAAATCGTTTTTACCTACATCAGTTAGACTGTTAAATATATAATTTATGACTGTTTGTGTTGTCTGTTTTGTTCAGTGTATGCAAATGTAGCCCTAGGGTCCAAGACAAAGTATACACATTTCCGTAATAACAGTGACGTGCCCCGAGCTTTCCTTGTGTTTTAATATGTAAACAGCCCATAACATGACCAAGGTACAGCTTGAATAAAATCTGCCAGTCTATGTTTGTGTGTGCGAGTCTGACACACCTGTTGTTTATGTGTGTGTGTGTGTGTGTTTGTGTGCGTGTCTGATGCACCTGTTCATTGTGTTTGGAGGTGCAGTCCAGTTTCTCCTTCTCCAGCTGGTTAATTCTCCACCTCAGTTCAGCAGTAAGATTGAACTCATCACCCGTCTCCCTCTCACTGACCCGTCTGCCTGTCTGCAGATGCTCCATCACACCTCTCAGCCTGATACATACAGTTTAAAATGAATTATTCACCCTCCTTCTTTAAATATTTCCCAAATGATGTTGAACAGATTCAGAAACTTTACACAGTATTTTCTCTAATATTTGTTCTTCTGGAGAAAGTCTTATTTGTTTTATTTGGGCTAGAATAAAAGCAGTTTTTAATGGTTTTAAAGCCATTTTAAGGTCAATATTATTGGCCCCTTCAGCAATATTAGTGTTGGATTGTCTCCAGAACAAACCACTGTTATACAATGACTTGTCTAATTACCCTAACTTTACCCTAATTACCCTAGTGAAGCCTTTACATGTCACTTTAAGCTGAATGCTAGTGTCTTGAAGAATATCTAGTCTAACATTAATTACTGTCATCATGATAAAGAGAAAATAAATCAGTTATTAGAGATGAGTTATTAACACTATTATGATTAGAAATGTGCTAAGAAAAAAATCCTCTTTCCATTAAACAACACGTGGGAAATATTTTAAAAGAATTAAAAATTTTACAGGAGGGCTAATAATGTTGTCTTCAGCGGAAATGACCAACAGTTGAACCCAGAGGTTTACATACACTCTAATAAAGGCACAAAACCATTTGTTTTTTAAATGTCTGATGGTAAATCAGACTAAACGTTTATTATTTTAGGTCCGTTAGGATAACTTAAATGATTTACATTTGCTAAATGCCAGAATAATGAGAGAATTATATATTTTTTTTATAATTTTTTATTAATTTCTAGACAGTCAGAAGTTTACACGCATTTTCTTGGTATTTTTAGCTTTGCTTTTAAACTGTATGACTTTGGTCAAATGTTTTGTGTCTCCTTCCACAAGCTTCTCACAATAGTTTGCAGGAGTTTTGGCCCATTCCTCCTGCAGAATTGCTGTAACTGAGTCAGATTTGTAGGCTGTCTCGCTCACACAAGCTTTTTCAACTCTGCCCACACATTCTCTATAGGATTGAGATCAGGGCTTTGTGATGGCCACTCCAAAACATTCACTCTGTTGTCCTTAAAGCACATTTAAATCAATTTGGCAGTGTGCTTAGGGTCATGGTCTGTTTGGAAGAGCCAGTTGAAGAGAGAAGTTGTAATGTCCTGGCTGATGTGTTGAGATGTTGCTTCAGTATTTCTCCATAATGTTCTTTCTTCATGATGCCATCTATGCTGTGAAGTGGACCAGTCCCTCCTGCAGCAAAACAGCCCCACAACATGATGCTGCCGCCCCCATACTGCACAGTTGGGATGGTGTTTCTAGGCTTGTGCGCTTTCCTCTTTGTCCTCCAAATGTAACACTGCTCATTATGGCCAAACAGTTCAATCTTAGCTCCATCAGAGCACAGGACATGTCCCCAAACATGAGTCTTTCCCCAGTATAGTTTAGCTAATTGTAATCTGGCTTTGTTGTTGATTCTGGCTTGTTGATTCTCCATGTTGTCACAGAAGGAAGCAGTGTGTTTGAGCTCTTCCTTCAATACTATTCTACAGTTGTGCCTCACATTAACTCAAATGTTGTTAGTTAGCCAATCAGAAACATCCAAAACCTTGACATCATCATCAGAGCTTTTCCAGAGGCAGAATAATATCATTGTGTGTAAACTTGACTTTCAACAAGAGTTATAACAATTTCTCAAACAAAATCTCTCTCATTATTCTGCTGTTAAGCAGAACAGAAACACGTGATCATCCTAACTGACCTAAAGGAGAAAAGTTTCAGTCACGTTAACATCTGACTTTATTGAAATGGTTGTGTGCCTTTTATACAGTGTATGTAAACTTCTGCTTTCAGCTGTAAATGATGTTTAGAGATTTTTGTAATATTGGCCAGCTCTAGTGCATGCATGTGAGAGAAACGTGTCAGAAACACTAAGACGAACCTGCTGATGTCCTCTTCTGTGTTTTGCGCAGACGGGGTCACGGTTTGCGGACGAGCTGCTCGAATGCTGGAAACCGGGTCTTTACGTTTGGCTCGAGCGCCATGACGTGGACGAACGGCGGCGGGAGGCTGAGTGGGCATGAGGTCAGTGTGAGGTCACAGTTCCCAGATCTGCAGAGAAACAGAGTATGTGAACAGTTATTTGCTATGTTAGCTTCCATGGCCATTTTCATGACGAAAAATGTACAGTTGAAGTCAGAACTATTTCCTCTCCTGAATTATTTTAGACCTCCTGTATATTTTTTTCCCAAATAATCATAATAGTGTTAATAACTCATCTCTAATAACTGATTTATTTTCTCTTCTCCATGATGACAGTAAATAATATTAGTCTAGATATTCTTCAAGACACTAGTATTCTGCTTAAAGTGACATGTAAAGGCTTCACTAGGGTAATTAGGGTAAAGTTAGGGTAATTAGGCAAGTCATTGTATAACAGTGGTTTGTTCTGGAGACAATCCAACACTAATATTGCTGAAGGGGCGAATAATATTGACCTTACAATGAATTTAAAACAATTAAAAACTGCTTTTATTTAAGACAAAATTAAACAAATAAGACTTTCTCCAGAAGAAAAAATATTAGAGGAAATACTGTGAAAATTCCCTGAATCTGTTCAACATCATTTGGGAAATGTTTGGAAAAAGAAAATTTAAAGGAGGGCGAATAATTATGACTTCAACTGAGCTAGAGACAGATTATACTAATGGTTTTACAATTTATTTTTTACTAAAAACTCTAAAACTGTATTTGGATTTACAGTGTTAAAATTCTTATTTTAAACCAAATATTTATAGTTGTAACTAACCGAATTTGCTCCCAATTAATTAATGTGGGATGAGTTTTGCTTTGTGTTCTCTCTCTAAAATCAATAACCTTCTGCTTAGTTTTAGGAATGTTTAGGAAAAGGTTTGAATTTTTCCACCAATAATGTCAAGAATAATAAAAAGTCAAGAACACGCCCGTGTAAAAAACAAACAAACAAACAAACAAATGTTAATATTTTCATTAAAGTTGGTGGGATATTAGTTGCTAGTTAAGTAGTACTAGTATGATATTAGTATTGCTTATTTTCACGCTATTTATAAGCGGTGTCTTACCCAAAACACGACAAACGTCTAACTTATAACGGAATACATTAGTGTTTCTGATGGTTTTGCCAACTGTAAATTAAGACAGAACGATGGAAATACATGATTAAAACAGCAAATGATAACGTTACCATATATTAAAATGACAACCATAAACAGTTTAAAGTTGCATTTAAATATAACTATATGTTTATATATATGAAAAAACAGAGTAATTTCTCAAATAAAATTTAGAAATAACACCTAAAAGCTAACGTTACTAGCGTATAGTAAAATCTCAGAAATCTGAATGAAACTAACGTAACGTTAGTTTCTAGCAGTGACGAACGGTCAGTTCGAAACAATGACTTATAAAACAAAACACAAACTCACCCTTAACAGACATATCATGCTATAATATCTGTGTTTATTATAAAATGTTGTCGTTAAACAGCATTATTATGCATAAATCCGTGGAGTTGTGAAGAGTTGCGGCGTCTGTCTGTTAGAATCTGACGCCATATTTCCCCCTCACCATGACAACAACGGCAAGCGAAAATACCGCGAAACACTGATCAAGAAAGTTATCGCGGATTATTATTTTTTAAATACATTTTCTCCAGCATGTTTGATTAATAAATTAACTAAACGACAAAACATTTCAAACACTTATTTTGCCGCTTCCCCCCTCAGAGGAATTATTAACCATTTACCGACCGACGTTCACAAACATTGACGTAATTTTATTTTTCACTCTGTGAAATTCATTTTAAAATCATGTGTAGTTAAATATAACACATAATGTGTGGTAAGTGAGCGTTGATATGATGAAGAAAACTCTTGTTATTTATTTTATCATCAATAAATACAAACCCAACCCCCCTCTCTCTCTGCTGTGGTACACTCCTATGTCAAACTGAGCGGGAGCGGACTGAACTATTTCACCGGCGCTAAGGGGAGACACTCACTCGTGCACGTCTACATGTCCGTTCATTCAGAGCGTGAAAATAATTTTAATTCTTGTGTTTTCTGATTTTTAAACTGCAGTGTTTATTAAAATGGTATTTTTGCTCTAAACTGATATGCAGAAAGGAGTAAAGGTGAGTCACTGTACACACAGTGGACATGAGTTAGCCTAAGCTAGCCAAACAAGGCTAAGTTATCATTGTATTTACTTACGTTACGTTACTGTCGACGGCAATTAAATCAAATGAGATTAAAATCATATTATTTGCAAATTCTTGACTATACGGGGAATTTTTGAGCTTTGTGTGTGTCTGCTGCTGAAGTGTTAGCATGTTGTTATTGTTGTTGTGTATTAGTGGGCGATGCTGAGTGTTTGTTTGTATTAATAAACACTGTATTTCATTTGTTTTTATGAAGATGAAATCTGATCAAACCACAGATGATTTTACTCCAGGTGATGTTGTGTTTGCGAAGATGAAAGGTTATCCTTTCTGGCCTGCCAGGGTGAGTTTCTGTAGTGTTTCATTGTGTTGAATGACATATCCTGCAGTGTATAGTCACATATCAGATGTTACATCCATCATATCTAACTGTTTTTCTTGCTGTTATTGTTTTGTCCCTCAGATTGCAGAAGGAAAAGCCCCCAAAAATAAGATCCCCATCTTTTTTTATGGGACACACTCAACGTGAGTAAACTCAAATCAAACATGCATTGCAAAACATTGGGTTAAAGCAGTGTTTCTCAACCACGTTTCTGGAGAACCACCAACACTGCATGTTTTGGATGTTTCCGTTGTCTGTCACGACCATTACAGGTTTCAGTCTCTGCTTGTGTTTGGTTGAGGAGACAATTCCTGCGTCCCAATTCACATACTTGTACTACGCCCAAAAAGTATGAACATTTGTATGATAGAATAGTACTTTTGAGTGTGCAACAGAAGAGTATGCAAGCTTTGGGACGTACTACTTCCTCTTTAACAGATCGTTGTGTTGCTTAGTTATGCCCCCTGTCAATCATCCATACACAATCCACATTTCTGTCGTATTTAATTTCCTACCTTATTGGAGAACAGCAGCAGGTTAATCTCCCATCCACGAGTCTTTCATGCAGAGAAATCTCCTCAGGTCTTTGGATAATTCTGCATTCAGACGTACAAATGTGTCTTTATAGAAGGTCAGTATTGTTGTTGCGGATGAAATATAACACAGATAATGCCGTTTAAATATTCTCCAGTGGGCTAGATATTGACTGACAGTCATTCAAACATCTTTACTGAAGCCTCTACTTGACAGTTTGTCTTCGCGTCCATCATGTTTGTAGTTTATATACACCTTTCACACGCGTATGTAGTTCTAATCTTATTCACATCCAATACGCAATGTATTGTGGGCAATATCGGCGGTTAGAGTATGGACGCTTCTACACTAACGTTTTGTACCATCCAAGAACCTCTGGCATACTCTTTTCAACATACTATTGTTTGGGACATACTAATTCTATTTTAAAATACTATTTAGGACACGTAGTATGCGGATTGGGACGCAGCAAATGAGAAAATGTGCAGAACTGGTTGTCCTCCAGGAACGTGGTTGAGAAACACTGCATTAAAGCGATCGTTTACCCAAAAATGAAAATTCTGTAATAATTTCTTCACTTTTGACTTGTTCCAAACCAGTAAGAGTTTTTTTCTTCTGTTAAACACTAAGATATTTGGAAGGAAACCGGAAACCTGTAACTTTATTTGTTTTACCTGATGTTTAGGTAAATGGTTACAGGTTTTCAGCATTCTTCAAAATATCTTGATTTGTGTTTAACAAAGAAAAATACTCTTAACAAAGTATATACATCATTATCACTTAATATGCTACAACAATTTATGAGGTAAAATTGTTTGCAATATTATCCAGCCCTTTATACAGTAATGTTCTTGTTTTATTTCTTAATAAAACATAAACTGATTAAATGTATTCAGTATTTTAAATGCATTTAATGTTGTTATTGAAGTGTAAATTTTAACTCCAAAACTGTACTATTTATTTACATCATACACAATGTGATGAAGTCATGTTTAAGGCATTTGTTAATATTACATATTGGGTTGTTTACTATTATTCAGGTGGTTCCTTATGATTGCTGTACTCTTAAATATGCACCTTAATATTCAACATGTACTTTAAATCTTGAAATTAGGAGTTTTAAAAACAACTATCATGTTGTTTTTCTTCCAGAACATTTCTATTTCCCAAGGACATCGTCCACTACTGGCCGAACAAGCAGAAATATGCCCAGGCCAACAAACGGGGCGGCTTCGAGGAGGGCATGTGGGAGATTGAGAATGACCCGGGTGTGGGACTCAGAGGTCAAAAGGTCAGTGTGTAAGTTTAGTAGTGGTGTCAAATGATTAATCGCGCCCAAAATAAAATGTCATATTTACAAAATATATTTGTGCATACTGTGTATATAAATGTATGCATGATTATATTATATCAAATATTTGTTTACATATATTGTATAAATTATGTATAAATATATAAAAATTATATATACACAAATACATTCTATATAAGTTATATTTATATTATAATATATATTATACATATAATTATACGTATTCTATCCAAATTATTATATATATATATATATATATATATATATATATATATATATATATATATATATATAATTCTATATCAAGTTTCGGTCGCATCTTTCTCGCTCGAGAAAATGTCTACTTGCATATCATATGAGAAGCACTTCTCACAAAACAGACGCTTTATACACATACTTCTGTGTAAATGTATAAATTACTAACTTTTCTATGAACAAGATTTGATTACAACTGCAGATCAATGACAGCGAAACAGCCTACTGTAACAACTGTAATTATATTAAGTAAATAAATAAATGAATGAACATATATGAACACATACAGACCCTTACAGTCTCCCATATGTTACCAATTACAGAAGAACTACACACAGCAGACATTTAGTGCTTATTTAGGTTAAAAAAACAATAGGAAATATAGCCCACAATCAGAGCAGACCTCTCATCTGTGTCTGTAATCTTCAGCAGCACATGTAGCCTCTTTTAGAGAGCAATTCTATCTTTCTAAGTTCATTATAGTCCAAAAGGTGAAGATAATTGTTCAACAAGACAGTGTGTTCACGTTTGCTGGAAAAAAGTGCTTCTATTTTCCCGGCTTCTCCTTTTTTCCGCGCCTCACTCGCGTTTTTCCTTTTCTTTCTGTATGTGTCATTCTCGCGTTTGTCAGCTCCTCACAGGATCGGGTTTCAAAAGCATGTCAATAATCAAGCGCACGTTTTTATCATCAGCTCAAGAAGTTTGCTATTTCAGATATAGACGAGCGGCGAGCGCAAGGAAAAAAGCAAAAACGCTCGTGCTTCAGACTGGCTCGTAAAAAACTACGAGGCACAGGGTAGATTCTGCTCTACTCCATGGCTTTGTGGCTGTTCATCAAGACGACGACAAGGTTTGTTTGAGCCCGAGTCGACCATAGTGCCTTATTATATGTACATATAATTCCGCTGTAATCTCTCGGCTGTGTTTTTAAACATGGCGGCTCTTTTGTTTTCATTCTGGCTTGCTGCGCAAGCGAATGACGAATCTCTGTAAACCAATAGCGTTCAGCTGCATGTCTAGCTTCGCCTTTTGGTACCCTTTCGAAAGGGTGCCGAAAAAGTGGTACGGTACGGTTCGGTATGCCTTTTGACAGTGGAAACGACCATAAAAGCATACCAAACCATGCCACTTAGGGGAAACGGGTCATTACTGTCATCATGGAAAAGATAAAATTAATCAGTTATTAGAGATGAATTATTAAAACTATTAGAAATATGGTGAAACAAAAATGTTAAACAGAAATCAGAGAAAAAAACTAACATGGGGGTGAAAAATTCAGGGGCGCTAATAAATCTGACTTCAACTGTGTGTGTATATTTATATATGTGTAAATACAAGCAAAAATGTGCACTTTAATTTAGACACCCACAGATATCATCACCAAATATAAATCAGAGAGGTCAGACTTTCTCATATACAGCCTCATTTTAGTTTTCAAGTTTTGTAAAAATCTATCTATTGAATTAAGCCATCTGTTAAAAAAAACGTTGGCTAGAATTCTGCATTATAGGCTTTATAGAGAGAAGATAGAATTATCCGCTTGTTAAGTGATGACGTATGTAATACTGTTTCCGGGTCTAAGCCACCATTCATTTGAGTGGAGAAATTATTTGTTTATGATCACGTTTTATTCCTATCACACATTAAAGTTAATTTTATATAAAATCATAGTGTACACAACAATCTCTGGGCTTGCTGCAAAACAAATACCAAAAATTTAACAATTTATAAAAAATGAATCACTTTCTGGCCATTGGATATTAGGCATGGACGTATATATTGCGATCGTGATTTTCGAAAGCCTTAAATCGCTTTGTAAACGTTTTTTATTACCATTTCATGAGTCTCCCCATTCAGTTGAATAGAGCGCTTGGACCCGGAAGCCGCTTTGCGTGACGTCAAACTTAACAAGCGGATAAAGAGAAATAACAGATGAGGCGGGACTGCAGTCAGATCATGAAGCAGATCAATGTTGATCTTTCTTTAGAGGTGTCAGTGCAGAAGTGAACAAAACAACAGGCAAAATACTATAAGATTAAAATATGGAAAAATGATCAGATGGTAACTTCCGTCAAGTTACCGAATGCATAAACCGCTCTCTGTAATATTTCAGCATGCTTTCACTTCCATATTTGACATGAAACCCATATTTACCTATAGGAATGACATTCCTCCCGGCCCTACTCATCGTTCTCTCTTCATATAGCCGAATTTCTGGCTATTACACAACCATTATACACTGCTATATAGTCTGGGTCGTTAGTTCGTTGGATCTACAATTGATCCGCTCCAGAGTTCAGCCTCCTTATTTAGGCTATCTCTGACCAATTGATTTGGAGCGAATCCGAGCACGATTGCGGGGTTCACATACGCCAGACAAACCACGCTAACTGGGCAAACGAGACTGTTCTGAAACAAACATCTAGGTGTGAAAGCACCACAAGACAGTCACAGGCCCCGTTTACACTAATGCGTTTTAGTTTTAAAACTGCGTTTTAGATAAAAAAAACTATCCGCTTCCACACAAGCGTTTCACCTAGCGTCTCTAAACATATCTCCGTCCACACTACGCCACCAAAAACGTATATCACGTGACTATTCGCGCACTCTGGGCATGCGCGTTCTAGTATAAACAGGAAGCATGTGTCTCGCTCGGCATTTGGTTATTGTTAGTCAACAAACGCCGGTTGAACAATGAACGCGATGGCGAAGAAAGCAAGAGAGGTATTTTTGTGGACAGACGAAGAGGTCGAGTTACTAAACGCAACAAATGAATAACTGCACAATGCCGCCTAAAACAGACAATAGTGCAAACAACGCTCCCATTTCTGTGCCCATGTTGTTGTTTACAGTACTGTCTTCCGGTAGCATTAAAGCCATGTGTTAAAGTCATGTGATAGGGGCTTGACGAATAAGGGAAGGATACACAATGACACAAACGCCCCAATCAGGAAGTGAATCTCAGCAGCTCCGCCTCCGTTTTCAGATGTCTCCGTTTTCCCCCATCCACACTGAGACAGAGCAGCAGTGCTTCAGAACGAACACGGCCTCTCCAGCATTTTCAAAACGCTTCGTTTTCGGCGCTCGAGATCTCCGGCGTAGTGTGGAAGGATAGTGTAACCGTAGCAAAACTTAAGCGTTTTAAAACTAAAACGCATTAGTGTAAACAGGGCCACAGCCAAACTGATGCTGTCTGCTATCCTGAGCGTCTTGCACACTGGCTCCGAGTCATTGGGCAGTCCTTATTGTCGAGCACTGCTGACTATTGCTGAAATACATACTGTGATATCGATGCTCAAATAATATATTATACTGCCCTAATCAGGATATAAGATGATTGTGTTTTTTAGATTATTGTGTGTGTTTTGTGACAGAAAGCAGCGCTAGTGAAACGGCTGTCAGAGAGTCGACTAAAGTGGAAAAACAAGAAGAAGAAGAAAGCAGAAAATCAGACTGAAGTGAAGAAACCCCCAAAATCAGCTAAAGATCCAGTGTCGAAGAGCGATTCAAAAGCAGCGACGCCACATAAGAGAGAAACAAAGTCTGAATCTGTCACACCGAAAGATGACAAGAACACCGAAACACGGCCGACACGCTCCAGAGATTCATCAGCGAAGACCAGCACAGATAAAAGACGGACAGACAAAGTTGTGCCTGCCAGAAAAATGACATCGGTGAAGACGATCACAACCGGGTGGAGACGTCTGCCATCCAGCGTCATATTAGCTAGACGGATGGATGCAGCTAAGACTCTTTCTGCTCACAGGAAACACGTGCTGAATAGGAAGATCATCTCCACGGCCAAGAAAAGGATTGATGCTGTTAATCACAGAAAGGTTTGCTGTCGTTCTCTGTTGTGTGTTGAGATTAATAAAACTTTACCTGAGGCCTGTACCATGTAGCTGGGTAGCATTGGTATGATTTGCACCAATCCTGAGTTTTTGGTAACTTGAATGAAGCTCTGCATTATTTTTTTTTTTTTTTACTTTCGCTACATGGCTAACCTGCGTTCAGATCATGGTCAGATTATTTTGAAGCTGTATTCAGGATATGTGATGATTATGTTCATGTTATGGTCAGATTTTTTAAAACTATATTTAGGCTGTGTTCTGGCTATGTTTCGGTTATGGTCAGATTATTTTGAAGCTACATTTAGGCTATGTTATTATGTTCATGCTATGATCAATGATTTTGTAGCTTGCTTTTTAGGCTATGTTCTGGCTATGTTTGTGTTATGGTCAGATTATTTTGAAGTTAGATTTAGGCTATGTTCTGGTTATGTTCATGTTACGCTCAGATTATTTTGAAGTAAGATTTAGGCTATGCTCATGTTATGCTCAGATTATTTTGAAGATACATTTAGGCTATGTTCTGGCTATGTTCGTGTTATGGTCAGATTATTTTGAAGTTATATCGAGGCTATTTTCTGGTTATGTTCAGATTATGGTCATATTAATTTAAAGATACATTTAGGCTATGTTCTGGTTATGTTCAGATTATGGTCATATTAATTTAAAGATACATTTAGGCTATGTTCTGGCTATGTTCGTGTTATGGTCATATTAATTTAAAGATACATTTAGGCTATTTTCTGATTATGTTCAGATTATGGTCATATTAATTTAAAGATACATTTAGGCTATGTTCTGGCTATGTTCATGTTATGCTCAGATTATTTTGAAGTTAGATTTAGGCTATGTTCTGGTTATGTTCATGTTATGCTCAGATTATTTTGAAGTAAGATTTAGGCTATGCTCATGTTATGTTCAGATTATTTTGAAGATACATTTAGGCTATGTTCTGGCTATGTTTGTGTTATGGTCAGATTATTTTGAAGTTATATCGAGGCTATTTTCTGGTTATGGTCATATTAATTTGAAGATACATTTAGGCTATGTTCTGGTTATGTTCAGATTATGGTCATATTAATTTAAAGATACATTTAGGCTATGTTCTGGTTATGTTCATGTTATGCTCAGATTATTTTGAAGTTAGATTTAGGCTATGTTCATGTTATGCTCAGATTATTTTGAAGTTAGATTTAGTCTGTGCTCTGGCAATGTTCATGTTATGCTCTGATTATTTTGAAGCTATATTTAGGCTATGTTCATGTTATGGTCAGATTATTTTGTAGCTATATTTAGTCTGTGTTCTGGCAATGCTCATGTTATGGCCAGATTATTTTGGAGCTATGTTCTGGTTATGTTCATGTTATGGTCAGATCATTTTGAAGCTATATTTCGGCTATGATCAGGTTATGGTCAGATTGTTTTGGAGCTATGTTCTGGCTATGTTCATGTTATGGCCAGATGATTTTGAAGCTATGTTTTAGTTATGTTCAGGTTGTGGTCAGATTATTTTGAGGCTATATTTAGGCAATGCTCTGGTTATGTTCATGTTATGGTTAGATTATTTTAAAGCTTTAAGCAAGCTATGTTTTGGTTATGTTCATGCTATGGTCATATTATTTTAAAGGTTTTTTTTGGTTATGTTGGGTTATGGTCAGATTATTTTGGAGCAATGTTTAGGCTATGTGCTGGCTATGTTCAGGTTATGGTCAGATAATTTTGAAGCTATATGGACTTTGCTTTGGTTATGTTCAGGTTATGGTCAGATTATTTTAAAGCTCTATTTAAGCTATGTTTTGGTTATGTTCATGCTATGGTCAGATTATTTTAAAGCTATGTTTTGGTTATGTTAAGGTTAAGGTTAGATTATTTTAAAGCTATGTTCAGGGTATGCTCAGATTAATGTCAGATTATTTTGAAGCTATATTTAGACTTGTGTTCCGATTATGGTCAGATTATTTTGAAGCTACATTTAGGCTATGTTCTTTTTTATGTTCATGTTATGGTCAGATGATTTTGAAGCTATATATAAGCTATGTTTTGGTTATGTACTGGTTAGGGTCAAGCAGGACTTAATTTGTGCTAGAACATGCCAAGTGGTCAGGGTTATTTTTGAGATATTTAGGCTAATGTAATTCTGAGTTTGTTTATCCAGCATCATGGTACAGACTCCGGCTTTATGCCAGAATATGATGTGTTGATGTTGTTATTGTTGTGTTGTGATATTTCAGCCCTCAAGATACACACGCTCGACTGCAGATCCCATTGAGGCCACTGATGATGTCACTGCGAAGCCGCTAGCTCTCAAACGCAAACGGAAGCAAAACGATTCTGAAGTAAAGGGAGACGCTCCTATTTCTATTCCAGCGACAGACATCTCTGTCTCTTCCACTCCGACAGGTGAACTGAAGCTTACATTTACATTTAATTACAGTTGTTTATTATACAATCCTGACATTGTTTTGTAAGTGTTTTCAAGCTTAAAATTAAATTATACTCATAGCTGTGTATACCATATATGGGCAATATTATCATACAAAGCTTCTTAGCTTATTATATCTACTCAATGTGCAGGCTCGAAGAGAAGACGCCTCACAGAACCTGAGAAGAAGAGTAAGGATGATGAGAAAGAGCTGAAGGAGAAGGAGGCTCAATCAAAAGAGAAAAATGAAGTGGAGCAAAAGATTGAGAAGCAGAATGAGGTAGAGAAGAGCAATGCTGACAAGAACAAGATGATGGAGAAGAAGAATCAGGCTGAAAAGATTGTTGCAGAAAATGAGACCGAAAACAAAGGGGCAAAAAAGAAAGAGTCAGAAAAGAGTGATGCAGAAAAGGAGAAGTCTGAAAAGAAAGAGACAAAAAAGATTGAGACAGAAAGGAAAGAGGCAAGAAATAGTGAAGCAGAAAGCAAAGAGCCATGTAAGAACGATTCTGAAAAGAAAGAGGCAGAAAGGATAGAGACAAGAAAGAGTGAGTCTGAAGTTTTAGTGACAAAAAATAAAGAGTCTGAAAAAAGAGAGACAAGAAAGAGCGAGTCTGAAATGAAAGAGGCAAGAAAGAACGAGTCCGAAAAGCAAGAGGCCAGAAAGAGTGAGTCTAAAAAAAGGGAGACAAGAAAGAGCGGGTCTGAAATGAAAGAGGCAAGAAAAAACGAGTCTGAAAAGCAAGAGGCCAGAAAGAGTGAGTCTGAAAAGAGAGAGACAAGAAAGAGCGAGTCTGAAATGAAAGAGGCAAGAAAGAACGAGTCCGAAAAGCAAGAGGCCAGAAAGAGTGAGTCTGAAAAGAGAGAGACAAGAAAGAGCGAGTCTAAAATGAAAGAGGCAAGAAAGAACGAATCCGAAAAGCAAGAGGCCAGAAAGAGTGAGTCTGAAAAGAGAGAGACAAGAAAGAGCGAGTCTGAAATGAAAGAGGCAGAAATGAAAGAGGCAAGAAAGACTGAGTCTGAAATGAAAGAGGCCAGAAAGAGTGAATCTGAAAAGAGGGAGACTAGAAAGAGCGAGTCTGAAATGAAAGAGGCAAGAAAGAACGAGTCCGAAATAGAGGCAACAAGAAGCAATTCTGAAAAGAGAGAGACAAGAAAGAGTGATTCTGAAACGGAGGCAAAAAATAGCGAGTCTGAAAAGAGAGAGGCAGGAAAGAGCGAGTCTGAAATGAAAGAGGCAAGAAAGAACGAGTCAGAAAAGGAAGAGGCCAGAAAGCGAGAGACTAGAAAGAGCGAGTCTGATATGAAAGAGGCAAAAAGGAAAGAGACAAGAAAGAATGAGTCTGAAATTAAAGTGGGAAAAGATAACGACTCTGAAAAGAGAGAGACAAGACAGAATGAGTTTGAAATAGAGGCCAAAAATAACGAGTCTGAAAAAAGAGAGACAAGAAAGAGCGAGTCTGAAATGAACGAGGCAAGAAAGACAGACTCTGAAATAAAAGAGGCCAGAAAGAATGAGTCTGAAAAAGAGGCAAGGAGGGACGAGTCTGAAAAGAGAGAGACAAGACAGAACGAGTCTGAAATGAAAGAAGCAAAAGATAACGACTCTGAAAAGAAAGAGGCCAGAAAGAATGAGTCTGAAAAAAGGGCAATAAGGAATGAGTCTGAGAAGAGAGAGACAAAGAGTGAGTCTGAAATTAAAGAGTCCGAAAAGAGAGAGGCAAAAAAGATTGAGTCTGAAATGAAACAGGCAAGGAAGAACGAGTCAGAAAAGAAAGAGACAAGAAAAAGTGAGCCTGAAAAGAAAGAGGCAGAAAGGGTCGAGACTAGAAAGACTGAGTCAGAAAAGAAAGAGGTAAGAAAGAGCGAGTCCGAAAAAAAAGAGGCAGAAAGGAAATTGGAGAGAAAGAGTGAGTCCGAAAGGAAAGAGGCAAAGAAGAGTGAGTCAGAAAATAAAGAGGCAAGAGGGAACGAGTCTGAAAAGAAAGGGGCAAGAAGGAGCGAGTCCGAAAAGAAAGAGGCAAGACGGAGCGAGTCTGAAAAGAGAGAGAACAGAAGGAGCGAGTCTGAAAAGAAAGAGGCAAGAAGGAACGAGTCTGAAAAGAGAGAGACAAGGAGCGAGTCTGAAAAGAGAGAGACAAGAAGGAGCGAGTCTGAAAAGAGAGAACCAAGATGGAGGGAGTCTGAAAAGAAAGAGGCAAGAAGGACGGAGTCTGAAAAGAAAGAGGCAAGAAGGAGCGAGTCTGAAAAGAGAGAACCAAGATGGAGGGAGTCTGAAAAGAAAGAGGCAAGAAGGACGGAGTCTGAAAAGAAAGAGGCAAGAAGGAGCGAGTCTGAAAAGAAAGAGGCAAGAATGAGCGAGATTGAAAAGAAAGAGGCAAGAAGAAGCGAGTCCGAAAAGAAAGAGGTAAGAAGGAGTGAGTCCGAAAAGAAAGAGGCAAGAAGGAGCGAGTTTGAAAAGAAAGAGGCAAGAAGGAGCGAGTCTGAAAAGAAAGAGGCAAGGAGCGAGTCTGAAAAGAAAGAGGCAAGAAGGAGCGAGTCTGAAAAGAAAGAGGGAAGAAGGAGCGAGTCTGAAAAGAAAGAGGCAAGAAGGAGCGAGTCTGAAAAGGCAAGAAGAAATGAATCCGAAAAGAAAGAGGCACGAAGGAACGAGTCTGAAAAGAAAGAGGCAAGGAGCGAGTCCGAAAAGAAAGAGGCAAGAAGGAAGGAGTCTGAAAAGAAAGAGGCAAGAAGGAACGAGTCTGAAAAGAAAGGGGGAAGAAGGAACGAGTCTGAAAAGAAAGAGGGAAGAAGGAACGAGTCTGAAAAGAAAGACGCAAGAAATAAGTCTGAAAAAGAGGCAAGAAGGAGTGACTCTGAACTGAAAGAGGCAAGTAGAACCGAGTCTGAACTGAAAGAGGCAAGAAGGAAAGAGTCTGAACTGAAAGAGGCAAGAAGGAACGAGTCTGACAAGAGTGATGAAGAAAAGGATGCGGTGGAGAAAAACAAGGCAGAAAAGAACAAGTTGCCGGAGAAGAGGAAAGAGATTAACGAAGAAGAACGGATAGAGATGATGACTAAACCCAAACAGACGAAGAGTTGCGCTCCTGTATCCTCTGATGAGACCCAAGAGGAGAAGAAACCCAGAGATGAAGAGGTGAGAGATGATAGTTCTGACAGCATCATGTGTTCATGTTGTGATTACATGTTCTATCACGGTATGGGATATTCTCACGATACTGAACGAGACTTTATGCGTGCTTATAACAACTGATATTAAGTGTGGTTAGCTCAGTTATGGTATTTTAGATGCAAAGATGACGTTTTCATGACAACGTGACTTAAATGCCTCATAACCTCTCGGTGTGTTTGTCATGATAAGTTGATGTTACCAAGCAGGGTTACATGGTTGTCATGAAGCAGTTATAAATGTCATTAATTTTATAACACCGACAATCAGGCAACCACCGCGGTACAAGCTGAATATGTCATTAAAATCAATGCTTGTGTTTGTGTGTGTGTGCAGAGGTGTAAGATCCTGGCAGAGAAGAGGCAGAGTGTGCTGAAGTCTCTGCAGGGTTTGGTCACGTCCACCAGAGGGAAGACTCCGAGCGGCTCTGAGCAAACAACAGAGACTAAGGAGCCACGGAAAGAAAGGAACCACAGGCTGAAGAAACCAGCGGAGGACGAGAAGAAGGACACGGAGAAGAGGAAAGAACAGGAGAAGAGGAATACTGAGTGAGTGAGAGCGATCAAGCCTCAAAGCGACCGTTCACAATCTAAAATGATGCCATTATTAACGCACCCTATGCAAACCCATTTCTGCCAGTTAAGAATAAAATCATGCCTTATGCTGTGTTTACCTTATAGCCGAGTGAACATTTGAGTTTACTCGCTTCATTCGTGCGGTAAATTCTCTTCAGAACAGACGCGGATTCGCGTGATGGGCAGGCCTTCTGTCTGCCCGGGGACTCTAGCTTCGTTGCTAAATAGCTAACATGGATTTTATGAGGAAAATAACAGTGTTTATGTGCTTTTATGAAGGCTGAAAAACAGCGCTGATACGTTTAGGACCGTGTCTGGGTCTAATAGATCCTTTCAGAGGTGAATCCAGCTCTGTGAGCTCAGAAACTGAACCTGGATGATGGAGGCTTTCAGCGGTGCTTCTGGCTGAGCTGAGCTGAGATGAGTTTGATGAACTGTTGTCGGTGTCGGCTGGAGGATTTCCTCCAGGACAGGCCCTACATCACAAGAACCCCCCTACAAGAGCAAGCTCCTGATCGGTTAACGCCGCGCACTTCACATCATTCGCGCATATCATGCCGCAGGATGTCTATTTGTGCGTTTGCATTGTAAATCACTCGCGCTTGACGAGCCTTTCGCATCTGGTGTGAACACAGCATTACAGTACACATGAAATCAAATCTAACCCATATTGATGTTGTTAGCTCACATTGCTAGTTTTGAGCTTAAAGGGTCATGAAACCCCTTGTTTCAGCAGGATGTTTTCACACCTCTACTTTGGAAAAAGTCAGAAAAGTGGGCGTGTCCAGCTCTGTTTAGGGGGGAGTGTCGGAGGAAGAAAAGAGGCATGGTGTGGGAGTGTCTATTTGGGCGCGCTGACTTTCAGAGTCAAAACACACACACACACACACACACAGGGGAGAAAGTGACTGTGTTTACATGGACATCTGTAGTCAAATTATTTGCCAAATGATTAAATGTTGGACTTTAACTGCAGTTTGGCTCTTTCATTCAGGGAATTCATTCATGTCCCTCGTGACAAACGAGATATTTGATTGGAGGAGCTGCTCTAAGCGTGTATTTTTCATGCAATGTTTGATACCGCACGGCGAATGAGAGAAAAAAAACTCAGCATTTCCCGGAAACTTAGATGCACACGGCAGGTAGTGTCAGAAAGCCGCGTGTGTTATTCCGGTCACTAAATGCGGTGAAAATCCTACACGAGGTTAAAGTTTGGTTGTGGTGCTAACATGTTTACACTCTGTGCAATAGTTAACTTAATTCGATACGAACAAACTGAATAAACAAAGAGCACTGGTCGCTCACTTACCAAATCTGTAGAGACAGGACAATCACCAGCAACTAGAGCCGCGTCTTTATTAAGAGGAGACTACAAGCGAATCCGGATCTCAGCGTTTGCACATGTAAATAAAATTAAACTAATTTTGATTATGAAGTGTCTCGAATCGTGGCTGGGTGCGCCGCGGAGTGTGTTCAATTGGGATTGGAACTAAAATATGCAGGATACCGGCCCCCCAGGACAAACCCAGGAGTTTGGACACCCCTGTGCTAATCGTAGTTTAATGGCAAGGCTTTTTATTCCTCACCTGGTGAAAATGGGCTTCCATTTGTTTGAGTTTTTGTTTATTCTGTTGAAGAGAAAGGAAGATATTTTGAAGAATGTTCCATATTATCTTTTTATTCTACCATGGCTGTCATTGTTTACTGAATCCACCATTCTCCTGTATGTCTTCTTTAGTGTTCAACAGAAGAGAGAAATGCTTAAAGGGTTGAGTGTGAGCAATTAGTATACCTTTTTTTTTGGGAGAATTACGCTCTTTAAGTGCACATTATCAGTTTCTGGCACTCATTCAGATCCTTCTTTACAGCTGTTATTGTCCAGTAATTTTTATAGTGTTTATTACCATTATAAAAGTAATTATAATGATCAAATGAGTTACTGTTATCCTGGTTATCATTATAGTATAATAAAAGTAAGTGTGTGTGTGTGTGTTTGATTCTACAGGCAGCAGATTAGTAGCAGTAAAGAAGAAGAGCGCAGAGGTGAGACGCATACACTCTTGCACGAACACACACACACACACACATTTACACACACTCTCCACAGCTGTAGGCCCTGTTTACTAGGGATGCCGCGGCTCTCAATATAATATTGAACCGTACGGTACGACCTCCACGGTTCAATACGCGCTTGTGAATTGCGTTGTTCTCGGTTTTGCGTTTAAACACTTTGTGCGTTTTAAATCTCCCCGAATTGACTGTGTGTGCCTCTAAATCCATGAGCTGAGATGAGGAAACTCCTACCCATGAGTACATATCCAATCACTATGCTCTAAAGCAGTGGTTCTCAAACTTTTTTTCTTCAAGTACCACCTCAGAAAAAAATTGTCTCTCCAAGTACCACCAAAGTGAGCAGTATTGAAATACAGTAGGGCAGTGGGCCCAATAAAGCAGCTACAACTCTGCACAGTTCAAAAAACGTGGCAGATTACTTCAGAAATATAGGCTATATGTCATATGTAGCATATTATATCCATCATTTTTGAAATTTTTTTAAATGTGTGTAGCATGTACATGACATATTTCATTCCTTCGCGTACCACTAAAGGAAGCCTGTGTACCACTAGTGGTACACGTACCACAGTTTGAGAACCACTGCTCTAAAGTTAGGGGGCGCTGACCATCATTCCACACTTTAACATGGCGAGCGGCGGTGAAGTGAGGTTAGGGCAACAGAACAAGGAAGCGCCGGCGAAGTGAGGCAACAGTACGAGAAAGCGCCGGTGTCTTTCAAATGTGCGGTGTGAGGACATTTTGGTTTTGCCAGAAAGTATAATCCTAATAAAAGAAAAAACGGTGAACAAAAAATAACTGTGTGTGAGCATTGATTTACACGTATAACCATGGCTGCACATCTGCAGCGCATCACCCAGCAATATCACTGTCTGAAGGCAGGAGAGTAGAGAAGGTAATAAAGTCCTCCAAACAGCAACAATCCCTCACTGAACCTTTCCAGCAAACAAACCCAACTGGCTCTGAGAGACACATAAAATAAGAAAGGCAGTGCGGGTGATTATTGCTGAAGATTTGCAGCCGTTTTCAGTGATTGGAGATGTGGGCTTCTGTCATCTTATAAAAGCACTCGGTCCGCTTTACAGACTACAGTCTGGCATTGTTTCAGCACCGAGATAATGAAGATGCTTTATTTATGTTCACTGAAGTACAAATATGTTGATCTGAAATGGCCAGTTGATCTTTATTAACTCCACATGTGTGTTTATTTTCAAAGTGGAGGATTTTATGTGTTGCCCAGTTTGTACATGGGTGACCAGCAGCTGTGAGATTTCACTGTTCATTTTTATACAATACACCAGGAACTACTGCACTTTTCTTCGCTTTTAAGTAAAACAAAATGAGTATTGCAATAAATCGTTTATATGTTTTTTTCCTAAACCTCTTACTGTTCCTATTGCGTATAGAATAAAAAATAAATAAATGTCAAGCCATGAGAACCAGACCGAAAACCCGAGGTATGTATTGAGCCGTGGGCTAACTGTACTGTTTACACTAATATGTTTTAGTTTTAAAATGACGTTTTTAAAGCAAAAATGATCCTCGTCCTAACTGGCATTTCACCTAGTGTTTCTGAACGGCTCTCTGTCCACACTACACCGCTGAAAACACACATCACGTGACCTCAAACACGCACACAAACACTCTGGCATGCGCTGCAGCGTACTGTATGTGGAACTCTGAGCTCCAGGCAGTCAGCGGGTGCTTTGATCGCAGCTCCACAGGTGAGAGCAGCACAGGTCAGACAGTTCATCAAGGATCTACCACTGAATCTCACCTCACTATAGTTGTTAAATGTGATATTTAATTCATCTTGTCTCTATCTAATGTTCTTTTGAATGTATTGCTTGTCCTCAGGTGTTGAGTTTTGGCAGAGGCAAGGTCAAAAATTACTTGTAGTGCTATAATTGAGACATTTGGTCCCCACAACATTATGAATACTAGGAACACACACTTAAACTCTTCCTCTGTATGTACATGTGTGGATCACTAACTCTCTCTGTTTGTGTGTTCAGCTCATTCTCTCTCCGTCACAGATTCCCTGCTGTATCGTCTCCATGGTGACATCAGGATATCAATGACGCTAGAAAATCCGGTATAAACACATTTAATATCATCTGTACTGTATATATGGGCTGTGTCATATGTATGACTTAGTTATTTATTTTTTATTATTGACTAATGAAAAGGCCACAAAACCCCCGTCACCTCTAGTTTGAAAAAAGTCAGGAAAATAGCTGGAGTCCAGCTTTATTTAGGTCGGAGTGGCGAGAGAGGGTTAATTATGGTTGGCAACACAACGTGCCGTCTCTCTGAACACTGTAACGGGTAAAAGCTGTCTTCGAAACAATCATGCATATTAATGAAGATGTACTCGCCAGTACAGACATCCAGTCTCTACACTGGAATACACACAAGGATCTCATGGCCTTGACGCAGCTTCACCATTTCTTTTCAAACTGGAAGAACGAAATTGCTGGAAATAACGCTAAAACAACCAATTTTCACTTTTTAACTTAATATATGTGTCCTGATAGTGTTTTTAGCAGCGTGGGACACATATATGACTGTCAACAGCTCAAAACATGTGTTTTGGGGCCTCATATATCAACGCTGCGTACGCACAAAAACTTTGCGTATGCCAGGTTTAACGCTCGCGTTTGGATGTACTCACAATGAAATGAACGTGGGAATGTGCGCAGCTCCACACCAACTTCATGTCTGGTGTACGTGCATTTCTTGTGTGTGTGTTTTGGTAAAGTCTAGATCGGATATGCGGCCGGCCGGAGGTGCGATATACACATTAATGAAGCAGCATTTTTTTAATAACACTATAACAATAATTTAATATTTTTACAGTACTGTGAGGGTTGGGTTTAGGGTTGGGGTGGGGGTAGGCGTTCAAAAATAAATTTTATTGGGTTATTTAATAGATAACATAACTAATACTTGGTACAATAACTCTGTTTTTACATTTCTGTGACTGTTTTAGGGTTGGGGTGGGGGTTTACGTTAATAAAATAAAACAAATGAGAAATTTAATAAAAAATAGAAATAATTCTCATTAACTTCCGGCCGCAAACGTATCCGCTCTAGCAACAACCGTCTGTTTTATTTCCATTGGCGACTCCTAGAGGCAGTTGGGTTAAATTGCACTCTACAAAGTGTCTTTGAGTCGTGCAATGGCAGCTGTATGAGACGGGTTCATCTGCATGTCTAGCAGGTGTATAAGGTTTCCATACCATGCAGTTGACCAGCCAAACATTAAAGCGCAACTTGCAGTGATCGCCGGTTTTCCCAATGTAATCTGAGCGATCTACTGCACACACAGTGCTATTAAGGCCCCATTTGAAGATGAACTTGCATACGTGAATCAGAAACATTTCCATTCAATAAATGTGCAAATAAAATATGATGCACAAACTTATTCATTTTATTTAATTTATTGTAGTATCCAGCTCTGCACAGTTTAGTTCCATCCCTAATTAAACACACCTGATCAAACTAATTGAGTCCTTCAGGCTTGTTTGAAACCTACAGGTAAGTGTGTTGGAGCAGGGTTGGAACTAAACTGTGCAGGGCTTCGGCCCTCCAGGAATTGAGTTTGACACCCCTGCTTTAAAGGATCTTCAATTGTGTGTGTTTTTGGTTGGTTTAGACCTCTGATGGATAAATTAACAGTACATGTTTCTTGTCTTTGATTCATGCTGATCTAAATGTAATTATTATAGTAATGACAATAGCATGACTCTCACAGCTCTTTCGTTGACATTTGTTTGTCTCTTTCAGGATGTCAGTAAGTGTTTATCTGCGCTGGATGAGCTGAGCAACGTCCCCGTCTCATCACGAAACATCCAGAACCACAGCGAGCTCATCGACACGCTCAGAAAGGTACATGCATCAGGGAGAGTGTAACAGGCTTAAAGGGGTGGTCCACCACGATATCATATGTTAAACTGTAGTTGATGTGTTTTTACAGAGTTAGCTTAGCAAAGCCTACAATGAACGATTTTTGGCGACTACAAAAAATACTACCGAGCCTGTGAGATCACAAAAGTACTTTTACCGCGCACACACACTGCGCAGCTAAGGGGCGTGGCCAGAGGCGCTGTAACGTTACAGCAGAGAGAGCTAAAATTCCGTCCAAACACTGCTCACAGAGCTTTTCACAGAGTCTGTTTCTGTATTTGGGCTTCCAAATGACACGACACAAAGACAGATGTGCTTACAGTTCAATATTAATTATGTTCCAGAGAATTATAAAATACACAGCAAGCATGATTTGCTCCAACAGGCAGACGCTGTAGCCTGTGAGTTTTTATTTGTTAAAATTGATCATGACATATACAGTGTCTAGCGTTAACGGTATGTTGCAACGATGTAAACAATGGGAAATGCTGTTTGGCACTGCTAACGATTTACCTACAAATACATATTCATCGGTCAAACCAGCGCGTGCGTGTCTTTCTATGCGTGTGCGACTGTGCGTATCTCTCTATAGGCAGCTTTTCCTGTGAACTCGCAAAAGATATGAGAGCGACGCATATTCCAAATATATGTGCATATACACGAAAGACGTCGTGAATCTCGTTGAGTTAAAAAATACAAGAGAGCTCGCCTAATTCGTGTAGCAGCAGAAAAATCAATCAAGGCTGACACAGGTGGCATCCCACATCTTGTGCTTTATTCTTCTGTCAACAGCGTCACGATATATTACAGAACAATAACTTAATCCGAGCATCTGAAAAAAAGAAAAAGAAACGCGTGCACATGATGTTATTTTAGAGAGCGGGCTGGAGGTTGACTGACTGTTTACACAATACAAACGTGCTTGTATGGGCGTGACGTGGAGCCGATCCGCAAATCGCAGCACATTATGATAGATGACCAATCAGAGCCTCTTGAAGGCGGGCTCAGAGGAACTAGGAAATATGACAGTGGTTTTCATGTCAGCTGAGTAGCTGTATATAATCAAAGTGAGATTTATGAAAATATAACCTGATTTCCTTCAAGTGAAACATGAGCACACATTGCTTTGCATCTTATAAACACAACCAAGCCTTAAAATTACATTCTGGACCAGCCCTTTAACATGGAAAGGAAAATGACATGCTCAACTTAAATGAATACCAAACGTTTCGGTGCATAGATTTAAACTTGGTATCTTTCTGAAAAAGAGTGTCAGATTGTAGCTGAAGATGAAAGTTCAAAAAGTTAAAGCAAAATTTATGTGCCTTTGAGCCCTATCATACACCCGGCGCAGTGTGGCGCAAGGCGTGGCGCAATAGTCTTTTGGAAGTTTCAGCTTGGCGCAAGAGTGGTTTTGAGGCGTTGCGCTACGCTGTTTAAATAGCAAATGCATTAGCGCTCATATGTGCGCCCATAGGTGATCTGGTCTAAAAAGGGAGGTGTTCTGAGGCGGACCGCTGGCGCGTCGCTATATTGAGAAACTATAATAGATTTTTCATTAGACCAAAACAAACCCGGTCTAAACTCCAGCGCAGAGTTGCGCCTCACTTACACACTGCTTAATACACACAAGAGAGCAATAGACAAATATCTTTACATATGAAAACATTTAAATATTTAGGATATAATAAGAATATATATAGAATATAAATATAAAGGATTAAAATATTACAAAACATATTATTTTCCAGCCTACATAAATATGAAAAATCACTGCTTTTATGTCTTCTTCATCTCGGGAGGCTTTTTCAGTTCATTCATAACAATCTGCTTTTGTATAATGTTATTATTATTAGCAGTATAATTTATTATATCCATATTTATATTTGTTTTATTAAAAACAAGCTTAGATTTGTCCACCTGTCAGGTTTTAGACCATATGGGGCACAGCTTGTGTTTTAGGATATAACTCAGGTTTTTGAGCACACTTCATTATTATTGTTCATTTATTCGTTTGCTGGAAATTAGAACTAAATTTAGAAATAGTTTTGAAACTAATATTTGCGCTTAACAAACGAAATTATTTATTTATAGGCTAATGGATGTCTGTGCGTAACGGTTTTCCTATCCAAGAGCGAATGTGAAAGTAGATCCATTATCTCTCATTCTCACGCAGTAGATGCTCTGTTTAACAGTTTTCTGTTTTCTGTGAACTGTTTGCTTGTGAAATGCTCAGTTTTTCCACTTAGACTTACTTTACGTCCTGTAAATAGCGAATGTGCTCTTGGCGTGACGCAGCTGGCTCTTAAAGGGAATGGGAGATGAGACTCTGATTGGTTTATTCTCAAAACACACCTATAACTCATTAAGAGAATAAGCTCAACCCTTTTAGACCATGCGCCACGGCACAAAGCAGGATTTCCCGTCCTTAAATTAGCAAAAACGTGTTCTGACACGCCCTGAAAGCGTTTGCGCCCTGCGCTTTGCGCTCTGCGCATGGACCCAAAAAATGGAGGCCTTTGTCTGTGAAAAAATTAAAACGACAAATGTAGGTTTTAATATATGACACAAGATATGTATTTTACAAAAGCTGTTTTAGCCTAAAATTGACATCAAATCAAAGGTAATATATCGGAACAAATTATATTTTAAATTTGACGTCATTATCCCACAAAAATATCTCCAAAATGAGCTTTCTGTAAGATTTATTTGGCCGCAATACCGAACATGACCATCAGGTGACACAGTTTACATTGATGACCATACAAGAGCGCCCACTGTGTTTTGAGGAATATAAACCACTTTTTTTGTATATATACTTTTGACAATATTTGTAAAGTAGACATGCAATTCTAAAGTATTATGGGATGTTTGGTGGTATTTGATTTGAATTTAGCCTCTAAAAAACATCTAAGTTTAAATGCAGATTGCTGTAGCAAAGTAATGCATAGTCCATTTATTATGTGGGGTCACCACAGCAGAATGAACCGCCGACTTATCCAGCGTATGTTTTATGCAGCTGATGCCCTTCCAGTTGCAGCCCATCACTGGGAAACACCCATACACACTCATTCACACACATACACTATAGCCAATTTGGCTTACCCAATTCATTACCCAATTCATTTATAGCGCATGTGTTGGACTGTGGGGGAAACCGGAAACCTCGAAGGTAACCAACGCCAACACGGGAGAACATGCAAACTCCACACAGAAATGTCAACTGACCCAGGGACTCGAACCAGCGACCTTCTTGCTGTGAGGCAATTTTGCTACCCACTAAGCCACCGTGACACCCTGTTCTTCTGCAATATCTATATATATATATATATATATATATATATATATATATATATATATATATATATATATATATATTCATATATATATATATATATAAACAAACACATGAGAAGTGGATAAAAAAGGCATCAGATGTCCTCTACAAACATCTACTTGTGATTCAATCAACCCAAATGCATGCCAGTAGCAGGTGTAAACGTCATCAGTGTGTGTTTGTGTGTGCAGATGCGCTGGTTTCGTGGCAGCGAGGCCATCATGTTTAAAGCCTCCATGCTGTATCACCGCTTTAAAAACATCTACCTCATCGGGGACGCAGATGAGACCCTGAGCCAGGAGTACATCAACTCTCTGCAGCAGGAGAGAGAAAGAGAAATAGAGGAGCGGCACAGAGATGCAGGTGAGCCCTTATAGGGGAATGAGGTTGACGTCTGCAGTAAAACTCAAACATAAATACACTGAGAGTTTATTATTATTTTCCAGTATTCCCCAGATGATGTTGAACAGATTCAGGAATTGTTCAGTGTTTCCTCTAATATTTGTCCTTCTGGAGAAAGTCTTATTTGTTTTATTTTGGCTAGAATAAAAGCAGTTTTTAATAGTTTTAAAGCCATTTTAAGCTCAATATTATTCGCCCCTTCAGCAATATTAGTGTTGGATTGTCTCCAGAACAAACCACTGTTATACAATGACTTGCCTAATTACCCTAACTTTACCCTAATTACCCTAGTGAAGCCTTTACATGTCACTTTAAGCTGAATAGAAGTGTCTTGAAGAATATCTAGTCTAATATTATTTACTGTCATCATGACAAAGAGAAAATAAATCAGCTATTAAAACTATCATGATTTAGAACAGTGTTGGAAAATATCTCCATTAAACAGCATTTGGGATTTATTTAAAGAATTTAAATTGAATAGGAGGGCTGATTTTTAGGACTACGTTTTATCTTAATATATACACTCGCTGGCCACTTTATTAGGTACACCTTACTTGTACCAGTTTGGAGCCCTTTTGCCTTCAGAACTGCTTTAATCCTTCATGGCAGAGATTCATCAAGCTACTGGAAATATTCCTCAGTGATTTTGCTCCATATTGTCATGATAGCATCACACTGTTGCTGCAGATCTGTCGGCTGCACATCCATGATGCCAATCTCCCGTTCCACCAAATGGAGACTCATCAGAGCAGCAATGTTTCTCCAATCTTCTATTGTCCAGTTTTGGTGAGTCTGTGTGAATTGTAGCCTCAGTTTCCTGTTCTTAGCTGACAGGAGCGGCACCCGGTGTGCTCTTCTGCTGCTGTAGCCCATCCGCCTCAAGGTTGGCCGTGTTGTGTGTTCAGAGATGCTCTTCTGCAGAGCTCGGTTGTAACGAGTGCTTATTTGAGTTACTGTTGCCTTTCTATCAGCTGTAACCAGTCTGGCCATTCTCCTCTGACCTCTGGCATCATCAACAAGGCATTTGCGCCCACAGAACTGCCGCTCACTGGATATTTCAGAGCAGCCCGTCTGGCAGCAACAACCATGCCACGTTCAAAGTCTCTTAAATCCCCTTTCTTCCCCATTCTGATGCTCAGTTTGAACTGCAGCAGATCCTCTTGACCATGTCTACATGCCTAAATGCAGTGAGCTGCTGCCATGTGATTGGCTGATTAAAAATTTGCATTGACGAGCAATTGACTGACGAGCAATTAACCAACGACTGACACAATATAACTAGAGAAATCTCCACTGTGCAACTGAGTGAGAGAGCGCTTCTCACTGAACAGTGCAGCATCGATGATGTAAGCGTGCCGAGGCCCATTTGTGGTGTGAGTGCGGGCTGTCAGGGGAGACGGGAGGGGGGACAAGCGTGCTTAGGCCTGATTCAAGGCAACTGTACCTAGTGTGAGTACGGCCTTAGGGCCTACTCACACTATGCCATCCGTACCGTGCCCAGGCCCGTTTCCCGGATCGTTTGAGAAGTGTGAGTGCGCTGAATTGGGCTCAAGCACGGTTCACTTGGCCGGCCCTGGCCCGGTTGGAAGAGGTGTGCCTGAGCGCGGATCACTTGGGCTTTGGCGCGGCACGCTTGTGTGTGAGTGCAAAACGCGCCAAAGCCCGAAACCGAAAGCGAGACGTGACTTTTAAGGGGCTGTTTCATATGGATTTATTAATCATTCTTACTGTTCAGTGAACGCAAACTGCCGTAGTTTATTAAAGACGCAAACCCCTCACTGCACGACAGCTGCACCTTCAGCAGACCTCCTCATTCCTGCAGCACGAGAGCTTTATGATCGTTTATGAGCGCCAAAAGTGGCGGATCTGTTCGGCGAAATATCTGACTGCGTGTCACCGCATCCTTAAGGACTGTTTGGCGAAATATTTGACGGCATATCAAACGACTGAAACCATATAACTAGAGAAATCTCCACTGTGCTACTGGGTGAGAGCGTATGGCAAGCCGTTTTAGCATTTAAACCTTGTTCTGACTATCCATTAGAGATATCTCTAATTATATTTTGACTAATCATAATTATAATTCGACTAGTCAGAATGACAATTAGAGATATCTGCAATTACAATTGTTCTAGTACGAAATCAGATTGGAGATATCTGCAAATATATTATAACTAGTCATATTCCTCTATTGACTTCCATTAAAAAATATTTGCAGATTTCTCTAACTGAGTTTTGACTCGTCAAAAATCCAATTCAAGATATCTACAACTGTAATTCGACTATTATTAATTAATTAAAGATATCTTCAAATATATTTGTAAATATCTCTAAATTTGACAAATTAAAGATATCTCCAAATGTATTATGACTAGTAAAAACTCAGTTAAAGATGTCTCTAATTACAATTGTGACTAGTCAAAACTCATTTAGAGATATCTGCAAATATTTTTCAATGGAAGTCAATGGAGGAATATGACTAGTCATAATATATTTGCAGATATCTCCAATCTGATTTCGTACTAGTACAATTGTAATTGCAGATATCTCTAATTGTCATTCTGACTAGTCGAATTATAATTATGAAAGATTTAAATGCTAAAAAGGCTTGCCATAGAGAGCGCTTCTAAACAGCGCAGCAGTGGTGACGTAAGCGTGCCGAGGCCCGATATGGTGTGAGCGCGGGCCGTCGGGGGAGACGGGAGGGGGGACAAGCGTGCTTTGGCCCGGTTCGAGGCAACTGTACCTAGTGTGAGTACGGCCTTAGTGTCTTTGTGTGTGTGTGTGTGTGTGTGTGTGTGTGTGTGTGTGTGTGTCTGTAGGTGTGTCTGTGTGTTCAGTTTTCAATGAAGAGATCTGAGAGATGAAACCAGCACCTCAAACCACTGATAATGTGCCTCAAAGGTATGACATCATACTAGACAAGTCATTGTATAACAGTGGTTTGTTCTGGAGACAATCCAACACTAATATTGCTGAAGGGGCGAATAATATTGACCTTAAAATGGTGTTTAAAACAATTAAAAACTGCTTTTATTCTAGCCAAAATAAAACAAATAAGACTTTCTCCAGAAGAACAAACATTAGAGGAAACACTGAACAATTCCTGAATCTGTTCAACATCATTTGGGGAATATTTGAAGAAGAAATTCACAGGCGGGCGAATAAATATGAATAAACTTGTAATAATTCTAACAGTTTCAGCTTTATTATTATCACTAATATTATTACTTTTAATAGTAATATTTTTACTGTTTAATATATCTGGTTTCTATTCGCATATATTGTAAAACATGATCTATTTCTATGATTTCAAATCTGATTTTTTAGCATCATTACTCCAGCCACATGATCCTTCAGAAATCATCAGTTTTTCTGTGCACGTTCAGATGCTGCAGGGGTTTTGATGCTCTCTGCTCTGTTTTCAGTGCGGACCGAAGCTGACGTGAGGAAAACACCGGACTTCACTTCTTGTTTTTAACTCTTGCTGCGCTATTATTCTGGAATAAGTCATTTTATCCATCATCTTCGTTTTATCCGGCCACTGAGGGTGTTTTTTATTCACACTGGGATGAAGAAGAGTGTTTCCAGCGCAGGGTTTTCCTCTCAGACTTTTAATGCGATGACGTCAGTGTTTTTCATCATCACACAGGCAGTAAAACACACATGATGCACTATAGAGCAGTTATATTTCTCACGTCTGCGTTTATCCTGTCAGTTCATTTCGAAGTGAAGGCGGCGTTACTGTTGTGAAGGTTGTTTTTAGGGTCTGATCGATGCGAGTGGAACTGACAGGATAAAGACGTTCAGATTTATGCCCTTTCCCTTGTATCACAGAGCATTAAATCGCATTAATGGTCAGCATATAAAGCTTGGACAGACTTTAAGTGTGTGTTTTACAATCATTATAGATAAAACACTATCATTACAGTCCAAAGTATTCATGGCGAGTGTGCCGTTACCACTAAACAGTGTCTGAAATACAGCGTTCCCTCTAACACACTTTAAAGGGGTGTTTTTATTTTCTCTGTTCTGTTTGTATGATCAGGACCATGTTAGGCATTAAAGTTGTATTGTGTGTGTGTGTGTGTGTGCGTGCGTGTGTGTAAACAAGGCAGCTAAATCCTCAGTATATAGTGTACAGTGAGACTTTCTGATCTGAACCGGTGCTAATAACACACACCTGCTGTCTTTAACCCGACCACACCTTCAGCCGTAACGCTTTCATTCGCCCCAGGTTTGTATGATAGAGCACTTGCATGTGCTTCTTGTGTTGATATGACGTGAATTTGATCTTGATCATAATAAACTGATCTTCAATCCAAACCTGCTGCTGGTGTTTCGGTTATGTGTGTATATTGTGTAGTCACACACACATTTAATTGTGCATATATACAGGCCACTTCCTAATTCTACGTTTCTCTGAGTTTGCAGTCATGTCAGTCTATATATCTGTCTGTCTGTCTATCTAGCAAGTAACAAAATGTTTTTGTTCATGTTATTATAATTATTTGACTGTTGTTCAGAGGTCGTCTTGTGCATGAAGTGCCCTGTTTTCAGAAACTATATTAATGATCAACACCGTAGCATTTTTAACGCAAGTCGACCGGTGGAATGATTTAACTAATTTAATGACAAAACATTTGTTAGTTTGACCAGTTATTTTTCTCTGAGGTATTTACGTTATCCATATATCCGTCTGTCTGTCTATTTCCGTTTGTCTATCTTTGTCCATTCGTCTGTCTATCTATCTGTCTCTGTCTATCTTGTCTGTCTGTCTATGCGTCTAATATATCTAACCATCTATCTCAATCTGTCTGTCTCTTTCTACCTATCTATCCGTCTGTCTATCAGCCTGTCTGTCTCCCTATCTTTCTACCTATCAGTCAGTCAGTCTGTCTACCTACCTATCTATCTGTCCGTCTATCTGTCTGTTTGTTTGTCTGTCTACCTATCCATCTATCAGTCAGTCTGTATGTCGGTGTATCTATCTATCTATCTATCTATCTATCTATCTATCTATCTATCTATCTATCTATCTATCTATCTATCTAACTGTCTGTCTATCAGTCTGTCTGTCCCCCTATCTATCTATCTATCTGTCTGTCTCCCTATTTGTCTATCAGTCCGTGTCTATCTGTCTGTCTGTTTACCCATCCATCCATCCGTCTGTCTACTTATATCTATCCATCTGTCTATCTATCGCTCCGTCTGTCTGTCTTTCTTTCTACCTATCCATCTGTCTGTCTGTCTCCCTATCTTTCCATCTATCTGTCTGTCCGTCTATCTTCCTACCTATCCGTCTGTCTGTCTGTCTCCCTATCTGTCTATCTATCTGTCTGTCTGTCTGTCTACCTATCCATCTATCAGTCTGTCTGTCTATCTGTCTATCTATATTTCTGTCTGTCAGTCTCCCTATCTGTCTATCAGTCCGTGTCTATCTGTCTGTCTGTTTACCCATCCATCCATCCGTCTGTCTACCTATCTGTCTATCTATCCATCTATCTATCGCTCTGTCTGTCTGTCTATCTTTCTTTCTACCTATCCATCTGTCTGTCTGTCTCCCTATCTTTCCATCTATCTGTCTGTCTATCTTTCTACCTATCTATCCGTCTGTCTGTCTGTCACCCTATCTGTCTATCTATCAGTCTGTCAGTCTATCTATCTGTCTGTCTGTCTACCTATCCATCTATCAGTCTGTCTGTCTATCTGTCTGTCTATCTATTAGTCTGTCTGTCCTCTTTATCTATCTATTTATTTATCTGTCTATCTATATTTCTGTCTGTCGGTCTCCCTATCTGTCTATCTATCTGTCTGTCTGTCTATCCGTTTGTCTGTCTATCTATTAGTCTGTCTGTCTGTCCTCTTTATCTATCTATCTATTTATCTGTCTATCGATCGATCTGTCTATCTGTCTGTCTATCTATATATTCAATAATTGCTTTATTGGCATGACAATTGTTACAAATGTATTGCCAAAACAGTTATAAAGTTTACATAAAAAGTAGCATACATATATAATAATAATAAAAAAAACAATATGTACCCGTCTATCAGTCTGTATTATTAGAACCAATCAGACCTTTATAGATTTATTATCCCTGCTTGATAAATCCAGGAATGCTTCAAATTTTCGAGGGCTCTTATATATTCAGCTTTAAATCACAGTGATAAAGAAGGCTACGTAGTGAACGGACAATGCAAACGTTATATTTAAATGATGATTCAGTTAGCAGTTCTGCTGTATTTGCATCTCATTTAAATACAACCTTGCTGAGCAGCAAAGGAGGAGAATTCGCTGAATAGATATTTCGTTAAGCATTATTTTGAGGTTTTACAATAAAAACTATTTCTTAATTCAAGTTTTTGCATTAATCTAATATTATTTATTTCAAAGTTGTTGTTTTTTACAGGAGTGTAAATAAACTAGATGTAAACCAAGTTTTGTGTTTAAATGACAATTGGATCTGTACTTGCCATTTCAGTCTCATAAGAGGGCAATTAAAACTTCTAAAACACATGCTTTATTTAATATTCTGCATTCATTAGTATTTTTTCATGTGCCCTCTTTCTCCTTTTTTATTTTATTTTAATATTTTATTGTCTTTTTTCTTCTTTGTCACTTTCCCTTTGCCATATACTTCTTTGAAATGTCATTCTCTTTATGTGCAAAATTAATATTTGCATTGTTTGTATTATATTATATTCTTCTGTTTTACAAAATGAGCATGAACTCAACCTCCATATATTTTGCCATATATATGGATATATTTCATGAAGAATTTTAAAATGATCCGCTTTTGTTTAGTTGGGAATGCAGCACTTATGAGGTATAGCCAGGCTTTTTCCCAGTCTATTAGGTCAAAGAAGGATGCCGAGTAACATTTGCCCTCAGGAACATTATACTTTTTATTTTGGAAAATTTGTTGAATATATTTATTGCATTTATTTTTCATCAGATCGACTAATTGCATTTCAGTTCAGCTCTGGTTCTTTAAGATCATTTTCATTAAAAATTAAATGAGATTTTACAAGTTGAATTAGGCCTAAAGGAATTGCTTTCTGCACAGCAATAAATTCTTATTAGACATAAACTGTTCATAAGACAAGAAATTGCCAGACTTATCAAAAATTGAGAGAATCCCAATTATATATTTTTTTATAAATGCATTAATGTGGTGAGAAATTGTGGGAATAACAGTTTCCAGGAAAGAAGAACCTGCTCAATTTTGACAGTGCTATTGGCAATTTATTAGGTAGATAATTACATTTTAAAATGAAAGGAAGACCTCCAATGTTTTTACAAATATAATTCGGAATAAAAAAAACATACCGAGTTATGGTAGAATCTGAATGATTTGTTTTTATTTTCCCTAACGTGACGCTCCTCTAGTGGGCGTATCCGCTTAGACCAAAACACCACGCCCCCAGCGACACTCACTCAGCGTCTTTTACCGGAGGCAGAGCCGACCGAGTCCACCGGGAAGAACCGCCTTCGACAGATCTGCAGGCGGAGGACACGACGGATCCAGATGTTTGACTGTTAACGGGAGCAGCCGTTCCGCGCCGATCTCAGGGAGTAACCGCGTAAAATGGCTCGGGTCGGCACCGGAGCGGATGGCGCGGAACCGGAGGAGGTGAGTGTCAGATTTCTGCCGTACACACCGACCTAGAAAGCGTCTTGAGGGAGTCTAGGTCACGATGCTGCGCTATTTAGGGAACTCGGAGAGTGTTGAGACACTGACAGTCTTTAACGTTAAATTCCTGTCAGACGCGGAAGTCGTTTATGTACGTTAAACACGGAATTTAGACACGAACTCACAACCAATGATAAACGTGCGTTTGCGTGTGTTGTTTATATTAAACTCATCTTTCGCCGTGATTTGAACACACATGCTGGGAATGTGCGTGTTTACTCAGGTGATCGGTGTTGCTAGGAGGGATACAGCTGCGGCCGGAAGTTAACGATAATTATGTTTATAAAATAACGTCTAACGTTACCTCTAAACCTGCCCTTCACCGTAATCTTACAACAGTAGTTATAACGAGAAGTATTTCCTAAATGACCCATTAAATTGTTTTTTTATTAACGGCTGCCCCTTTCCCAAGCCTAAAACTAACGTTACCCCTTAACACGAATTTAAATCAGTAATTATAACGAGAATAACGTATTAAAATATCATTAAATTGTATTTTGTTAACGTCTACACCTAAACCCAATCCCCACAGTAATGTTAAATAATACATGATCGCTGTACAGGGTCTCAAACATGATGCTGTATTGCTGTGAGTGTCCGCGCTGTATCCCTTCTAGACTTCACCGGTGATCGTTTGTCATTGGCCGTACTTGTGCAACGGCGGCGGTGACGTCACAAAGGTCGCCGCATTCACGTGCAACTTTTTCATAAGCCTTGCAGAAAAGTGCCGTGTGTAGTGTGTGTGAACTTTACCATAGTATTTGCATGTTGCCATATCTAATGTTTATGTGAGGCTGCGTTGTACTTCTGTAATATCACTGCGACGCCATGCACGGTCAGCATCAGGACTGGGGTTGTCTCCATGTTAAATGTTTGTTTTAATACCCTGGTTACCCGTTTCTGTTATAATTTTACCATGGTCACCTTTATACGTGATATCTCTGTGGTATATGTTTATGGTAACATGGTCATTACTGGAACTGCTGTTTCCATGTGAAATGTTCATGATTGATATCATTGTGTTTAAATATAGTCATAACACGGTTGTGATCGCAGCATTTATTTATTTAATACTGATTTGTGTTTGTGCACATTGCTGGAACTGGTATTTCTATTACATGTGTTCTTTGTTATAGCATGGTCACCATTATAATTGTATTCTCCATTGTTATGTGTTTATTTTACACCACAGTTTCCAAGCTATATTGTAATTTTACAATGATTAATATTGTAACTTATTATGGTATACGTTTATGGCAATAACATGACCATTTCTGTATGGCGTTTCCATCATGGTCAACTGTTTTTTTTTTATATAGTTCTAACTGTTATTGGGGATTTCCCAGAGATGGGTTGCGGCTGAAAGGGCATCCACTGCGTAAAAACTTGCTGGATAAGTTGGCGGTTCATTCCGCTGTGGCGACCCCGGATTAATAAAGGGACTAAGCTGACAAGAAAATTAATGAATGAATGTTATTAGGGATGCTCTGACCGAAGATTGGTACCAGCCAATAATCACATGTAATGAACTGATAGCAGGGGTTTGTTTATGAGTTTACAAGCATAGGAAGGATGCACATGCGCTCCCATATATTATGCATAGCCTACAGCAGCCACAACACGTGAGAT